GCCTAGGGATGACACTGATGATGGCAAGCAGCCTCTACAGAAAATTAAGTCAAGTATACTTGAGCCTCGGGTGGGAAAATCGACAACCTGATTCCACATCCCAACATCTACAGCCTCAAGAAACTTATCGAACCTTCTGGGGCCTGAAGGCGGAGACCAGCGGACTTCAGGGAGATTAAAGTCACCCGCAACCAATTGATACTTAAAGCTTAAGTCGGCCGCATCATGAAATGCCTGTGAGAGTAAACGATCAAAATTGTCGTTGGCGTTGGGAGGGCGATAGGCGCAGCCAACGAGTAAGGAGAACCTATTTTTAGGGCAATTTGGAGCCAGCAGCTGCCTTCTACTGCGGAAAAGCGCGGGAGGTCCAACGGCAAAAATGTAAGTGTTTGCATAACGTAGACGCAGCTGCCCCCACCACGGCTATCTTGGCGATCATTTCGGATGCAATTGTAGCCTAGAAGAGAGAGTTCAGAGTCAGCTACTGAGGCTGATGCCCACGTCTCAGTTACTAAAACAATATCAGGACAATGGACGAACACCTGAGTCTGAAGCAAAGGCATCTTATTATTAACTTGCTTTGATGGGACCCCGACGGGTCTTTAATAAAAAATTATCTTATCTTGTCTTTTTGGCATGAGCCATTCACGGGACCACTCGTCCAAGCGACGAGGATTATCTTAGAAGTCCGATTTCTCGGGAGCAGTGTGAGTGGAGTACCAGATTTTTATATCATTTGCAAAAATGACATATTCACTGTCCTATGCCTGTACAACATCATTAACAAACAAGAGAAAAAGAGTCGTTCCCAGCAATGAATCTTCTGTGCCTCCACCCCCTATGACTGTGTGCCTCGATTGCTGTTGCTATACACAGCTAAGGAATTTTGATCCGTTTGGAAGTTTGCCTCTAGTATCCATTACTCCCAACATGTATATCAGACGTTGGTCCGAATGCTATCGAAGGAATCCCCAAAATTATTGAGGCGGCATGAACAATCTGCTTTTCGTCGAAAGCTCTTGTACGGACTTGCATCGTGCAAGGCATTTTCGCTACAGGCCGTCGTTCTTTACGGAAGCTCTGTTGTTTGTCTGGTATGATAGTACGGGTCTCCGAATGATTCATCGGTGTCTACATGCAGGTCTTCTCCATAAATTTTCTGCAGACTGATTTCGGGCGGCCTTTGTTCAAATTGAATGACAGAAGCCACCTGCGAGACCACTCGTCTGATCGACAAAGATTTTTGGAAAGTTAGTCTCATCGGCGGCATCGTATATGACTTTCCATATTTCAATATCATCTGCGAACATGACACACAGTCCAAAACCTCTACACAATCATTAAAAAAAACAAGATAAGGGGGTCGCTCTGAGCATCGAGTCTTGGAGACCGCACAGTCTGCGACTGTGAGCCTTGATTGCCGTTGGTTCAAGCAGAAAATTTGGGAGCGGCCGACGAGGAAATTATCGGTCCATTTTAGAAGTTCGCCACCGATACCGATCACTGTCAACTTGTAAAGGGGACGCTGGTGCGGACCACTATCGAGTGCCATACTGTAAACGATGTAGGCTACAAGCACCATGCGTTTGGCATCCAGTGCTCTTGTCCAGCTTTACATTGTTTATAGCAAGCTCGTTACACACTAGTTTTTCCAACGAAAACCTAGTGTTCATAGCACAACATGTTTTGGGTTTCCAAAGAAATCATCAACACCTTTTTGATGATCTCTGAATACTGAATGCAGAATACCATCATTACCGACACTCCCACCTCCAGCGATGTGGATTCGGTTCATAACTGTCCTCATTTTGACCGCACATCTACTTCGCACATTGGTCTGGTCAGTCATTCTCAAACTCACCGCACGGAAACTGTTAAAGGAGTGCCTGGAACACCCACATACACTCACCACACGCGCCTCAACTGCCCTTATTGCATCCGTACATTTACGCACCGCATGAGCTTATTAGGTTACATTCGAATTAACGAAAACCTGCGGTAGACAATTTGCCGAACACATTATACACCTCCAGCAACACCGTATCACACAACAACACAATCACCACATTCACTCGATTGCCGCGCCTCACGCAAGTGGGAAGTGTAAGTCTGGACTCCTTCTAACTGCAACTCCTTTCCTGCATGTATGATCCGATTCTGAGACCATCACGGTGTGCCAAGCTCCGTGGCTTGGCGCCTCAACTCAGTCCACTCTGTCAGCCCTGCTGTGTGTGTTTGCGTGTAGTGACGAACTGGCGGGCTGAGAGCCATACTGTTACGGCTCCCTCTAAAGTGATATAACACTCTCCTGCATGTTTGCAGTGTGTGTGCTTTGCGGATTCTGCCTCTCAGTTGACGACTGTTTGACTATCCAGCCTTGAAAAGCGACGTTTCAGGCTCGTGCAGGGTCACGTGTTACCCTTCTGAGCCTAGAGGTCTGTAAGCGCCTGATATTTTAGGTTTAGTATACCATGGTCATCCCAACATGGTATGTACTGGCAGATGTCTGGCACCCAATTCCCCGACGGTAGATGCGCTTGCGTTCCCACTGGGAATACAGGTCGTGTGCATGGCTGCCCAGTCATTCACGTCTTTTCTATTGTTGTGTTTGTTGCTGTTGATGTTGTTGTCGTTGTTGTTGATGGTGGTGGCGGTGGTGCTGGTGGTGGTGGTGGCGGTGGTGGTGAAAATTCTGGGCAAGTTTTTGTTGTAAACCAAGGGATGCGGAGAGGAGCGTTAGGGTGCCGGTTCAGTCGCACCATCCACCCGCGCCCTCCCCGCCTCTGGTCTTCTTGACTCTGTCTTAACATCCAGCCTAGGTGAAGGAGCGGTAGAGTGCGGTAGCTGCAGCGCAAGTCTATTATCGTTATAAAAGAGATCGCGTGCAAGTCACCTTACGTACTTTATTTTGCCGTGGAATACACGGTAGACATTGTGGGGTGCGACGTTAGAACTATCATTATCTTCGAGCTGGCTATAGCAACGTTGCCGCTGCCGTCACTAACACTGACCGGTTTCAAAGCCGTGACGTGTAAATACCGGCGTCCTCAAATGCTACGCTGAAATGCTTATAAAGATAACGACTGGACAAATAGGTACATTTCTAAGCTACTGGCTGTAGTTATTAGGATAAAAAGGTTAAAAGCAACCATCCGTTCAAAATACTGTAATGTTATGTATGTATTTGAGGGTAACGAGTCGAGCCCTCAATTATAAGTTCTTTCCTCACCGAAAAACCTCTCGCTACGGCGAAAGAAGTTGACTAACGTAAAAAATATCATGTACGAGGATGGATATTTTAATGGCTGATTTGCCTTCCCAGGGACTAAGGCAACTGAAAAAGTTTTCGGTTCATTTGATAAGGATAAAAGGGAAGGCCTATGGAAACTCTATCGACTGTTTGCCAGTCCTTTGGATACGGCTGTATATAAACAAGGAAAATCGCCGTCAATGAAATACTACTTGCACGATTTAAGGAACATTGTTTACAAAGACAAACATTCTGGGGTTCACGGCAATTTTGGCTCAGGTTCAGTCTGTCAAAAGGAAAACAAAGGGCGCAAATAATCATCCAAGCGTTCCTTTAAGAGCTACAGAGACGTGGCCTCCACAACTGACTGAAGGCGATCATCTCATTTCAGAACGAGAGCTCAGCCTGGGCATTCTAATGCGTAGCTCCGTCGAGTGTCCACGAAGACTGAGTGAAAGGCGCCAATGAAAGCTCAGCCCGTGCTCATAGTCATGTATTATCTAGTAAACCTCGATAAGGTCATCTCTTTGTTGCTTGCAATAGTAAAAGGGGACAAATTAAAGTACTCCGGTCTTTATATGTAAAATTGGCTTTTTAAATCCCTTGTCAGATTTGATGCACTGCGTTGTAGTTTTTCTTGGCATGTTTGGTCCTTCGTTAGTCAAGGCCAGCATGATTGTATAATATATAACTGATGAGACTGAACAACGGTGACATAAACTCTCCCAAAATGTTTTGGCCAAAGGTTAGGGATGTTTTTTGGTCGCATGTAGTACTCCCATTGCATTTTTACAGCATTGGCGAACTGCAATGCTGGTCGCATATTACTCCGCATCCAAACATCGAGATCCTTCTGCGAAGATCCTGCGGGAAGGGCAGTGTCTTCCAGGTGAAATGCTCTCATGCTGTCATTAAAATGAGAGTTGGCTGGGCACAGATGAATGACGGCAGACTTCTGCACATTGAAATCCAGAATCCATTCCTCGAACCACGTTTGCGGTCGGTGGAGATTGGTTATAAAGGCCTTCCGACCATTCGGGTCCCAAACGCCTTGCCCAGCTGACCAAACTTTCATTTCATTTGCCTACTGATAACAGTTTTTCTCCCAGGCCTTTTGGGGACCCTATCCAGTGAAAGTTAAAATTGAGTCAATTGGTAAAATAATACAATGCAAACAGTAATTGCCTGCGTGAGAAATATCCGTAATGGAATATTTCAGTCGTTCGCGTTCTACTTAAACTCTTTGGTTAAGCAAGAGTATAACCATTCGTTTGTCAGCTTTGTGTTGCATTTTGGTCACAAGCAATATCGTTGGATTTTCGGCTACACCTATTTTTAAGATGACGAAAACTGTCGCACTTCGATTGCTTTCTGCCTACCAACGATCCAGGATTTTGGCCCTTTCCACGGAGCACCGCAACGCCTAGATTGGATCCAGTGCTTTCGATTGTTCTCTTAAAGACGTCTTATAACCCAATAATCTTCTAGTATGAGCATGAATAAATCGAGCCTGTGTGCCTTCAACACTGATAAATGAGACTACGCATAAATAGGGACGAGAAAGATTTGCTGTGCGGGGAACTTCCAATAATATTAACCCCTGCTTATGACTCATGTGTGATGCTGTAGATTTCTTTTATAACAGAAACTGTGGAACTGTATAACAGGATTGGACGCAGTAGTTTGAAATTGCTGCCCCCTAGCCCGCTTTGGAAGAAAACGTTTGCACTGGAGGGCCGTTTTGAAAAAAATGGTGAAAAGGAAAAGTCTGGAGGTGATTTCAGAACCAAACAAAAAGCCTAAAGATCCATCAATTGCTGATGAAGCGTGGCGAAAGATGCGAGACGCCATCGAGACTGCGTTTTTGCTGAAGTGTCCTGGTGACTTTTTCACTTTCTATGAATTTTGTTGTAAGATATCTCCAGACGAGCCGCTCAGTAGGTCTTTCCTAATAAACAACAGATTTTCAGAGGCCTTACGTGAGGAGCTGGACATTGAACTAGTTGGGCCCTTCGAACTCCTTAGTAGAGACTGGATTCCCGACGCGTCTGAGAATTTTTCTTGTTGTTATCGCTACTTCCACGACCCACCTGAATTTGTTACAGTGTTTGCTTCTCCCTCTGGGTTTTATCATGTTGGATACTTTCGGTATGATTAAGTTGTGAAGTCGAGGTTCCATAGGGATGATGCGAATGAGTTACCATCCTTTATGGCGTCGTCGGATTCCTCTGTTGATGGACGTTTTGAAATTCTAGGTTGTGATATATTCTCTGTGGTTGCGTATGCCATGCACTTTTTATTATTGAAAGTTTAGGAAACTTCTGAACCGCAGGAAAGGGGCCAAACGGGCGCGTATACTCACAGAAATGCAAAAGTTTGCTGTTGAGCGTTCATTCCGGATAGACTTGAAGTCGACCGGTTTGTTATTTTTTTGATGATATTTTTTAGTAAAACGTGACACTGTCTGCCCGACTTTAAATAGTGTTGGATTACGCATAAATTTGCATAATGGTATCGGTTATCGACCGGTTCCCCTTTCCAACAGTAAGTTTGCCTCTCAGTATTCCATGCCTATGCTGAATCCGATTAACTTGATACACTAAAATGAACACACCGTTGGATTCCTATTCTTGGTCTTTCCAAAGTGAGCGAAAACCAGTGCTTTTTAGGTGTTAAGCTTGGTTATTCTATGCCTAATGCTCCCTCATTCATCTTATGAGTATCCAGCATGTTTGCAAGGAGGAAAATAAACATAAACATAAAATGAGTTTCCTGAATAGTCGTTTTGGCAGTCAAACATATTCAGAGGAGGAAAAGCATCTGCTTTTCAGTTCCAGTTAAATTTAAAACTGACTGCATTAAACGAAGAACACCAACCAGGGCAACCCGGTAAGCACCCATCGAATGAAGTGCAGAAGGCAAAATAGGAATACTTTGAAGTCTGCGACACAACGTGATTTTTCTCATTCTATTTAGAGCCCGCGGTATCCCGCCTGCCTACTTATGCAACTACATGAACTGTGTGTTTTCACTGTTTTATACCCCTACGCCTAGGTCATGCTAAATTTTCCGGAGAAAGACACCTTCATACAGACCCGCATTTATATGTTTGGATTCATACTTACCCCTTTTAGTCCTTGATGATTTTTATTGTATTCAATTTTATTCTAGGTGAACTAGTCAATCTTTTACAGAAAATTGTCCAGTCCACTGATGCGAAGACCAAACTGCCGCATCAGGCAAAACTGGACGAATTGGTCACTCTTGTACAGTTTGCCAATGATGAGGGCGATTTTGGCGAGGGTCTTGAACTAGGACTTGACCTTCTTGCTTTTCATCCAAAGGGTGAGTTGCAGCTCTCATGCTTTCTTCCTGGAATACATGAAGTAAAACGATTTATCTTAAAAGGGAGAACAGTTAGCCATGTGTCAAAGGATCCGAAGGCCGCACGTATTTTTAAGTGCCTTAGGGCCTTCACTTGGGTCGGTTTCTAGACAGCCCGATTAAACAACAATCTGGGTTCGCTGTCCATTCGTCGAAATTGGTGCTCGAAACGACTGGCGGACGGCGGCTAGCAAACCGTTGCCCTTGTCGGCATTTTTGAGCATTATCGTATGTTATGCGACTGTCCCCGTGGCCATAGGCTTAAAAACACCGAAGCACCCTCCCGCGCCTCCTAATTTTGGTTTATTTTGATCAGCCGCCCACCTTAAGTTCGACGTTGACCGCGTACTGCACAGACATCAGAGCTTGTTTTCGCCTTAGAGTGTTGTGCGTTCTAGCTATTTACACGAGTTTGTCTCACTTCTGTAGTTGATTTCTCTTCTGTTTTTGCATTTGCCGGGTCTAATCGATACTGTTATTTATCTGAGGTCGTTATCGTCCGAGGCTAATGGAGGTAAGAATTTAAGAAAATAATAGCTAACAGTGCTTATATGAGCTCAGCTTCTACGACGGGCTTTTAAACAGTCTGTAGACCCACTGCCGTTGTTCTCGCCGTCACAGAAGCTCACCGCTGCATTTTCTCTTCTTTTTCACCCAATTACAGGCGAAAATTTGCAGTCAGCAAGCTGCTTCAACAACACTATTTCCTTACTCCTGTCGACGGGCTACCAACTGGCAGGTCGTCCACAGTTTGCCGAAGTCATTAATCAGCACATGAAGAACCGATGCATCCAACCCACTTCTCTGAAAACCAACAGCTAGCCTTTCCAAGATGGCCGCTCATATTTTCCTGTTTATACCTTATCAGTATAATGAAAAGATTTATCGTCCACTATTGCTTTCTGAATAATTATTTATCTCGAATATACCGAAGGGCTCTAGGTCGTAAGTCCTATGCGTATGTTGTACTAGTCTGAGTTGATTTGACGGACCCTCACTTTCCCCGAGCAGATGCGAAGATGCGAGTTCCGGGTAGGCCCCATTTATCAGGACCGTTATATTCTTAGTCACAGTTTTCAGAGCATTGCAACAGTACATCAGAGATGAGGAGAGAGCAGTCACAAATATGTCGTTTTCTAGACATCTTCCCCCCGTCGGTCGCGTGTCTCACTGACTGGGAACTGGTCTGCAGCGTCTGGCCATTAGAGCGTAGAACATAATGAACCGGCCAGTCCAGTTGTTATTAGAGGTCCAGACCGTTCTTGTTTTACCTTACAACTAATCCACTGTACTATCCGAATGTTTGAGAAGTCAAATTCATAGTTCGTCTACTGGGTGTAGGCAGTGACTTGAGTCAGTGACCCCTGCCATTCACATCGTCGGAGTACGAGCCCTCACGCCCTGTGTACCTGCTAGGGCCAGTTGATCCTGGATGCTTGCGGCTTTGTGCCAGTGAGTGATACCCATGGCTCTGGTGTGTCGTTTCACCCTCAGTAGATAGTGATATAAGCTCAGAAATCCCGTTAAAAGTTTCCTTGTCTTCTGTGGTCGGGCACGGAGGCACCCATAGGTGGACGTTCTACTTAAGTTGGTTTCACAGCCACCGAAGGCTGCATTGTGTTCTGTCTTCTTCGAAAAGACTACTAGCACAGCTTCGCTTGTGCGGTCCCCCTGCTACGCTGCTATGACTCCGCTTGATTTTGGCTGTGCGTTGTCGTTCGGCAGGGAATTAAGGCTATTTGGAAATTGCTCAGTCGGCGCTCCGGTGTTAGGATTCATCCGACAGCAGATTGTCCCATCGGGGCTGAGCAAGGACGAAGATTCGGTTAGGTGTTCGCCTCTCCGTGGCCCTCCGTGGGGGGGCCGGTACTGTGTGCAGTTAGGGACCAGGTCATGCGCGGCACACACAGGCGGGCTGTTTGAGTTTGTCAACCACTACGCCCACGTCCACCGCCCAGATTTCTCTTGCCACCGGGACTCGTTGGATGTGGAAAGGGTGAGTGAGGCAGACTCGGTGAAAGTCAACTTCACCATAAGGTCATGCTGCTCCGACCTGGTTGGGCAGTGGTGTCCTGTCTCTTGCGACGGCCGAACTATTAAACTTCCTCCCCGTAGCGAACAATTATCCCCAAACCAGGAGATAAATTACAAAAACCACACCTTAGAGGGGGAGGGGGAGGAAGATAGTAAGGGTGGAACTCACTTCGGAACGCTCCATCTACACCATCGTCACGGCTCAATCCGATGAAAACGACGACGAAATTCAGCATCAGCTCACCGAAAAGTGGGACTTTCACTTAGCCTACGAGTGTAATAGGATTTCCGTTGGAGGACTCTCTTTGTCTAAGTGTAATCGAAGACTGCAGCATCTATTCCGAGAAGCCTACAGAACCGATTGACAGGGGAAGTTCAAGGATACGCTGATCGGGTGGTGAAGGATTTCAGTGCTACTATTGCGGGATTCCTACCCTAATATGTACTGATAAAAAAAATCAGGATTAAATTTAAAACATGTTGGGAAAAGTAAATCCGAATTAAATAGTGACAATTAGGCAAAAATATTTCCCTAATATCGCGTAGGATTGCTGTGTGGTAGGCTTTATCTCCTTTCAAAAAAAAGCTAGAAGTGTTAATCCAAGTGCCCCTGAAGTTAATGCTACGGAACTCCACGATGTTCGAAATTTCAATCTTTCTGTCTAAGTAAGTCCTCTCAAATTGCTGGATGTGCGCACTCGTATTCCGATCAAGGTAATTTTTCTGGTGATTGGCAGTTTTGTGATCGTACCCAGTTTGATTAAGCCATTTATATGCTGGCCATATGTCAGAATGTATTGTTGAACCTACTTCTACTTCGCGTTCACTGATAGGGATCACTGTCCCTGCATCTCGTTTGTGTATGTAGAAGTAGCTAACCTGGCACAATCCAAAGACCCGTGGGCCATCAATTCGGGAGCCGTAGTTCCGGCAATTCTGTACTGGATCGTCATCGCTTTCTTCGACAGGTGCATCTACACCTAAAAGATGGCCACGACTATACTTACGGCACCCTGCCAATCTGGCCTCGTCGATTTGTATTTGGTTTTCCGATGTTCCATTCACCTTTCCTCTGCTAGCGACAGATGCCATTCACAGTAATTGGGGATCTACCAGTAAGTTTTGACACGCTCTCCAGCGGCATTCTGTTGCTCCAGAGATAAACTAGCTTTAAAATTTCACAGACCTCCGTTCAAATCACAATAATTGAAAGGTCCTTCCCCCTTTCCAACGGACTTTCAATCCTTCTGCACCTCCATACCGGCACATTCTGTCCACGGACCTTCTTGTTTGTGATCATCACCGACCCATTGAAGTTGCGGTAAGACCCCTCCTCCACTATCTCGTGAAGCCGCTTCTTCGCCGTGCATAAATGTATGCTGAAGTAAGGACAGAAAATGAAATTAGGATCCGCGCATCGAAATTTCTTTGCTGCAACCGACGGACCCCTTGTCCCTCCTCATCTCCAATGGAACAAACTTCTGTGTGATGGGTCCTGACACTGGAGCGATAACTGAACAATCTTCGAATACTCATACTCATCCACGTCCAGTCTGCAGTGGCACAATTAGTAAACGTTCACAAGCTGAAGTCAACGATGACTGTCACGGCGGCCTAAGTCATAGACCCCAGCTACTACGACTCTTAAGCCCGGTTTCGAATCGGATGAGGAGAAGTTGGATGCCGGTAGAGAGAGAGAGAGTATTGCATTCTGGACAGAACAAACGGAGAATAGGTTGGTGCGAGTTGGCATTCAGAGGAAGACAAACGCCCGACATCGACAGAGTAGGCCTCCGACTGCCACCGGGGACAGGAATCAGAGCGCCTTCGGCGAGGACATGTCTGAGTTGACCTAAAAGCTGATTGGTCGGTTTAGATAGTTGCGAGTGGTCGGCAACGAGACTGCCAATGGTACGCGCATGAAGCTCCGTTTTGCGGCAGGCGTCCCCTTGAGGGTCACAGCATGATCGTTACCTCCCCTAACCAACCTAGACGGATCAGCTTTTGTCGAAGGGCGCAGCTACACGGTTGGACACAACCGCTGAAAACTGACTCTCAGAGCATGTGGAATCAAAAAGAAATCCCGCAGGATCTCAGGAATTCCGCTAAATTCTGCAAGCGGAACTGTCTCTATTCAACGTTACTCAAAAAAGTTTCGCATGCATACTACTTACTCGAGTGACCTTGTATCTGACACAAGAGCTCTTGTCGGAGACGCAGAGTGAATATCTGCTACTTGTCAAATGCGAGACAAGTGCTATGAGACATAAGGATTAGTCTCTGCATCTCGCTTGTCGGTCCAACAAAGAAATTCGGCACAGTAAATTGAAACAGACTCTGAAGGCTAGCAAGTACATTCAGATATTCGGAAAAGTCCGGACTCATGGTGAATTAGCCCCTCAGCGGTGTGGCAACGAGCCCTGTGGGCAAAAGATCAATTTCGGATGCCTATGCGGGTTGAAGGAGGGTTGTTTATTCGTTCTAACCCTCCTTGGCCTCATGTTCTCACCAGTGAGTCACGATCGGGCATCGGACCGATGGGAAATTCATAGAAAGTGCATCCCTATGATAGTCTTCAAGGGCGAAATCCACGACGTCCTATCTGCCGTTGATTGCGCATTCAATGCCATCACAAGACCATGATATGCGGCAGAGTTTGCATTCCTCCGTCACGAACAAGAAAGTCTACAGGCCACAACGACACCTGCTGCTCTGGGAAACATCTCTTATTTGAAATTCATAATCCCGTGGAACATCGCATTGCGTAACGAAGTCGCAACCAGAATCTCAAACGGCAGTCGTGTTTCTGACAGGTTAAAACACTTATCATGGAACCTCCACTGTATCCTTCTCATTGCCGATATGGAGGTTCACAAGACTGTGGTGTTAAATATGCTACTCTAGGACGTATTAACCTAGGCCGTCCGCCAGGTTCGATAGAGAAATCTAAACCATCTCCACGTCAAGGGTCTTCGTAGAAGCAGGAACGTATCCAAGACGCTCAGATGCCAAACTCCACTAACACTCCCAGCACATTTGCAAATCCAACAAACGTGATGAAATTGCATCAATTAACGGCGCGAATATCGACCATCAAACAATCATCACACCAAGCGCACCGATCCCTGGTGAAGGGGGGGAACCAAAGTGTCATGACAACCGCACCCTATAAATACTGCAGCCCCTTGTGCATGAACCACTCGTACCTGCTTTTGTCCCTGATGATGGGTTCGAGCAGGAATACTAAACGTCAGGCTAATAAAGCGCCTGTCGCAGCGATCGTGTCTCCTTCTTCACAAAGCCAACTTCGTCAGAGTGGCCGCGTTGAGCGGTTGCGGAATGCGCACACTCCAGGATGCCTGTTCACTAAGACCTGTCTGCAGGCGCGCGTTGACAAAGAAAACGAAAACAGTTGCAGGAGGACGGCCTGAAGCCTTTAATCAAATGTCTCGGGGTGAATAAGGACTTTCGGGAAAATCTCACAACAAATCGGCCGTCATGGCGAATTGTCGTAAAAGAGTAATTACGACCCTTGTAACCAATCATTTAGTGAGGGCTAAGCCAAGAAAACAAGGTCAGAATGCCGAAAAACGGAGTTGTCATTGCCTAGCCCTTTTCTTGACTTCCCCCCCCCCCCTTATCAGCACACATTCGAAGTTTGTGTCATCCTTGTGGGGGCCCATGCGCTTCCACCATAACGACAACACCGCACCGAAGAACTTTGCTCGCACCACCGCAACTCAAGGAGTTACGCTGTCTGAATCCTAAGAACTCGCAACAGTGTACAGACCACAAATGCTCCTCTGTTCTGCTCTGCTTGTACGGCTGTGACAATCCGTGCCCGCAGATGCAGTCATCAGCTGTTATTTACTATGCAGCCAAAACCAAAGGAGGGGACAATGAATGGCGGGCATTGGAGTCTGCGACCCACAAAACGGCCAAAAGAATTGTCAGATCCATCTTCCAAGATCGCAATGACTGAATCCTCACAGAGGCTCGAGGGCTCTCTGTCCCGACGGCTCGATCTAGTCGTCTCAATGACGACCATTCCCGTCAAAGCCGAAAGATGACGGTTAAGTCGATTACTGAAATCCGTAGACGTTTCTAGATCGAGGCAGTGATTCCCACCGTGTAACCCATGAGTGGTGTTGGGGTATTCAGTTAGGGGGCACTCGTGAAGGGATGGTGGGCGACTGTTCCTCACAGTCTTTACCTAACACCCCACTCTCAAATATGGCTCTCTAAAACTAGGCGCTGCCTATCGGCCACACCTCAATAACCGCATCAACTGGCGGACTAAACTGGATGAGGGTGCCTGATGTGAAGAGACGAGTCACAGTAATTGGAGTAGCAATTAACCACACGAATGTCGGTCATCAAACAGCCATTACACCTTAAAGAAGGAGGCACGATCGCTGGGGCAAGAACTATATTAGCCTGACGTTTCGGATTCCTTCCCAAACCCGTCATCAGAGGCAAAAGCAGCTGCGACCCGTATCAGCCGTCACATCTCCTGATGAAGGGGGGGGGGCGTGAATATTCATAGGTATGCGGTAGCGGGGCGACTGTATTCTATAAATACTGCAGGCCTTTGTGCGTGAATCATCCGTATCTGCTTTTGCCTCTGACGATGGGTTCGAGTAGGAATTCGAAACGTCAGACTAGTAAAGCTCTCGTCCCAGCGATCGGGTCTCCTTCTTCAAGGTGTCTGGTGGTTTATATGTTCCTGCACCGGATAATTCTGCTCCCGCCACCATCCTCCACACCTCCCCCTCATTCCCCTCTCCCCTTTAATTTTACACTGAGTGGGCGAAACGTATTGACATAGAGAGCCCAAGCTAACTCGAGTTGTCCTTCCACTGTATCAAGCCGTGGCTTGCAGTGGGTTTCGGGAACCGTCTGGGATAATTCAGCAGCCATATTAAAGGACAGAGCTGCTTAGTCCCCTGCGAAGGAAGGAGCTAGGGAAGGTGCCGTAGGTAAATGTGGAGAAATCATGTCTTCTACACGCAGACCGCGGTTCACAGATTGCAACTCGTGGTCGAAACACAAAACGAAGCAGCAAAAACCCACGTGCCCATCCTCCCCACTTCGCCCCGTAGACTGACAGGGTGTGTCCGCTCACTCTAGCAGTCTGGAATGTTCGCTCGCTTTAAGCCAACCCCAGGAGCGACCGGCCGGAACGGAGGACGGCGCCAATGACTTAGGAACTGGCGTGCTACAGGTGGACATAGCTGCACTCAACGAGACACGATTCCCAAATAACGCCAACTGGAGGAGATGGGTGCAGCCTACACATTCTTCTGGAGAAGCTTCTCAAAGACTTGGTGTTGATACCGCCTCCGCCAACCAGAACGGCCGTCCTGTCTGCCTCAGGGCATCAACGACCGACAGACGAGGCTGCGCCCTCCTCTTTGGGAAACCGAATTCGCCACCATCGTCAGGGTCTACGGTCCCCACCCAATGACTTGCTCCGACGAGACAAAAACAAATTCCTCGAGGACTTGCACAGTCCTGTGGCGACTGTGCCGAAGGCTGACAAAAGTGGCTGCCCTTGGTGACTTTATTGCCCGAGTCGGGACAGAGCACATTGCCCCCGAGGGAGTGCTGGATCTCCATGGTCTAGGCGGCCGCAACGACAACGGCCTCCTTCTGCGAACCTGCGCTGAACGCCACTACTCGGCCACATGCGCATCCATGAGAGCGGAACTGACAGCAGTCCAGACACACCCGCCATACCCAGCCCCACCCTCGCGCCATTGCCCTGTGCGCCCATCATCATCATCATCATCATCATCATCATCATCATCATCATCATCATCATCATCATCATCATCATCATCATCATCATCATCATCATCATCATCATCATCATCATCATCATCATCATCATCATCATCATCATCATCATCATCATCATCATCATCATCACCTGCGTAGCCGGCACTGACACCGCCGACTTCTCATGCCCACACTGTCCACGCACATTCACCTCTCGCATCAGCCTGGTCGGTCACTTGCGAATCCATCGCAGAGAGACTGGCAAAGCAGTGCCTGGTGCACCAACCTATACCCACCACGCTCGACTCAACTGCCCACACTGCCCTCGCACCTTCAGGCATCGCATGGGCCTATTCGGTCACATGCATATCCACGACGACCCGCGGTAGACAACCACCGGCTTCACCACACCATCACACTCTCCCTCCCTCACCACACATCGAAACTCATCTACCGCAATCATCCAACTGCCACCTCCCACGCAAGTGGGAGGTGTGCATCTCGACTCGGCCCCCATGCGGCTTCGGCTGCACGGGCGACTAGAGTCTGAGACACTCCCGACACGTCAAGCGTCGTGGATAGGAAGGCTACTGATTGACGCCCCCCCTCGGTCCACGCAGTCCATCCCGTTGTGTGTGTGTTGTGTGGAGTGGCGGATTGGTAGGCTAGGAGACGGGCTGAAACAGCACCTCCCACGGCCCTATCACGCAAATGAGTGTTCCGCCGTTCAACCCCCGCTGCGCGGCATCGGATGGACCTATTCGGTCACATGCACATCCACGACGACCTGCGGTAGACAACCGTCGGCTACACCACACATTCGCGCACTCCCTACCTTC